CGGTCTGACAGAGGCGTGCCAGCGGCTGGCCGAACAGCGCGACGGCAGACTCACCATGACCGGTGTGGGGACGGGCTCGGTCTGACAGAGGCGTGCCAGCGGCTGGCCGAACAGCGCGACGGCGCCGCCCGCGCCCGCCGCGCCCGCCGCGCCGTCCACGCTGTCCGGCTTGCTGTTGGTGCGGCGGAACACGCGGTGGATGCGGATTGGCGACTTCTTCGGCATCTTCTTCTTCTTGGCCGGCTCCGGCGACGGCGATAGCGTCCGCAGCTCGGAGCGAGCCGGGCTGCGGGTTACATGCAAAGGTCACGGTTGCGCCAGAAAGCCCCATGACGGGTGCAGCTTGTACCGTTATGATCAGTAGAGTTTTTAGCACAAGTTTCGACACCATGGTGCTACATTTAATAGCGACATTTTCGTACAGTTACCGTGAACACAAAATACAGGACGTTGGATGGTGTTACATCTCGATCTACTTCAGTGAGACCATTGCACAATATGATTTGACGCAATTCGGATGCATCTCGTGAAGTGGCCATGAAATTAACAAAAAAAAAGAAGACCATGGGATGGAGTATTTCATCCCACTGTAATTGAATGAGACCATTCATGCGCACGTCATCTACTTCTTCAAAGACACCTAGCAAAAATTACATGTCTAGCGTTCCACGCGCGCCATCACGTGACTCAAGAGGTGCGGCCGACCAACGTCGCCGCCGCCGCCGCCACCGCAACGGCTCGCCCACCGCCGACCCCGTCCCCCCTCTCCCCCTCCCCCGGAAAAGAGGGCGCCGCCGCCACTCACCGCAGCAGGAACTGACAGGCGGCCGCCGGGCCCGGACTGTACACGTTGTTGCAGTGGTCCATCTCTGCCGGCGCGTCGCGCGCCTCGCTCATCTGGATGGCGAACGGCAGCTCGTGGCCGATCAGCTGGAGGGCGGGTCGGTCGGGCGCCGGGCGCGCCCACAGCCGCAGCTCGCCGGCGCTCGACGCCGGCCGCTCCAGGCCGGCCAGCGCGCTGCGCACGCACTCGCGCGCCGTCGTCGACGGCGCTACGCTCAGCGTCTGGCTCTGTAACGGCGGCAGCGGCCCGTCAGCGAAGCGGCTGCACTTGCCGGCTGTGCAGTGGGAGTGTGGGAGGGAGTAGCGACTGCGACGACCACCAGCACGCGAGACCACCGGCGCTCGGTGGCGCGGTGTCTTCCGTCGGGAACAACGGATTCCGCCCGCCCGAAACGGGCATCAGCGCTATGAAAACAGCTGGGCGCAGTGTGTTTGGGCCTGCCGACGCAGACCGCGTGCTGTCTATCGTCCGGGACCTCCAGAGGGCGCAGTGTCAGTAGCCGAGCGTTCACCGCGCGTCCGCCACCACCGCCGGGTTCGCGCGGTGACGACACGCGGCCCGTCATCTGACCCGGCACAAGAGAAATCAAGATAAGCATGACCGTTACGAAGCCGCCGATTTCTATGAAACCTGGGGCTACTGGCAAATGAGCCGAGGCTGAAGTTTAACGTGTGGGTGAAAAAATGAGCATGTTCCCTACATTATTTTATGGCGCACTAAGTGTTATGTTTAGCAGTGTTTTCACCATTTCAGTAATCATTCCATTGTTCTTGCCCATTGGCGCATGGGAACAAACACAACCGGTGCCGAGTCTGAACCCGGAGAACAAAACTCAGTTTTAACCCGACAAAAGACACGACTCCATTGGCGCGTGCGTGTCACGCTCCTGAACAAGGAATGTACTGGTCACTATTTGCTACTCGTAAAGAACCGTCACATCCCCGTATCGAGTTTTTGCTGTCAAAGCAAACCCGTCCATCGGAACCCAATCTCATGCGCTTGTGTCATGCTTCCGGGGGCAGACCTGGAGCACAATGGCTGCCATTCGACGTTGTATATTACCTCCGTTATTGCAACAAGCCCATGAAGCTGGTCCAAACCACCACAGCTAAACAAAAACAAACGTGAACCATAAACTAACGACCGAAGCAGGCACTAACGCGCGCATAGGTGGTGCTTTTCCCAACACCCTGCGCAGAACTGAGTTGTCACTTCTCGACCAGCACGCGACAGTACTGGAGAGGCCAGTCGGCTCGGGTGACGTCACAGTGCGTCGGCCCGGGTGGCGTCATAGCGTGTCGGCCAGCTCTCAGCGGGCATAGCGCGGCACGAGCTAATCCCGCCGGTCAGGCATCAATCCGCCGTCGTCGCGCTGCCCACACCGCCTGAGACAGGTCACCTCGCCCCCAGGGCTGCGGCACGGGACGCGGAGACCTATGCCCGCAGCGGCGCGGCCCGCTCCAAACGCGGAGCTCCGGGCGACGGGCGCCTGGCTGTCGGCGAGCTCGAACCAGATCCAGCTGTTCAGCCGCCCGCGGGGAGAACGTACGGAGCCAGTGATGCGTGCTGAATCGCATTGGCCTCAGTTCCGTTACACAGGACCGGTCTAGGTGGAGCCCTCCAAGTGCATCCTTCCCTGACGCAATTGCGCTCCGGCAGAACCTCCTTCGCTGGATCCGCGGCGATCCCATCTCTACAGCCTGCCGCGCTCCGAGCCTAGCCGACGCATCACGGCGCGCCGTCCAGCGTCCACTCACCAGGTCGACGCTGCTGATCGGGTCGCGGTACACCAGCTGGATGGCGGTCGTCTTCGGCTCCAGTTCGCGCTCCGCCGCGATCAGCTGGGTGAGCTGGGCGAGCCAGGCGTCGCGTACTGGGCCGCCGCTGCAACAGATGCGCGCACGGTCAGTCAGAGCCGGCGGCGGCAGGGCAGGTCACGGGGCAGACTCGACGTCACCGGTCGGCGCCCGCGATCTCCCGGCGCCTGGAGGAGCGGCGCAACGCTGTGGAACGCGGCCCGACGACGGCCATCGCCGCTGGGAGGTCGCCGTATGAAATCGTGACACGGAAACTCACGCGGAACGCGCACAGTTCACAGGAGACGGCTGCGCCGGACATCGACACCTCCTTACGTCACGCTGGCGCGGCGCCAACCAGCTACCGGACGGGTAACTCTTTCCGCACATGAAGCGCGTCCGCTGCCGACGCCGCCGCGATCCGATCACCGTTTGGGCCCCGGCCCCACCTGCTGCGGGCGTGAAGCTCGCTCCCCCGGGGGCCAGCAGGCGCTCCCGCTGGCGAGGAGGCCACGCAGCCCATCCCGGCGCACGCCGTCGCGCACGGTCGCACGCCGGTCACTGGGCGCACGCACGGGCGCCGCCGGATCCTTCCCCTTCCCCTCCCTCCGCCCGCCACCGGACCCCTTAATCAGGGGTACGCGCCCCACCGCCATTCACTGCGCCCCATCGGTCGCCGTTCTTCTCGGAAAACAGCGCCCGAGCAAACGTGACCGGGCGTCGCGCACACAAGTCATGCCCCGCGGCTGCTGGTGGGGGGCTCCACCCGAGGGCGGAGCGAGCCCGTCCGACTGCGGCGCCGCCGGAAGCTTAGCGGCTCCCGTCTTGGCCCCGGGCGAGACGTGCGTGCTGCTGCTGCACTGCGCCGCGCAGCCGTTTAAACAATCAGTCGCGCTCAATCCGCTCCTCGGACGTCTAACAGAAGCACGTCACGCCCGGTGAACGGCTGACAGTGTACGCGCGGCCTGAGCCGGGCGCGGCACACGCGGGCGCCAGTGATCAGGATCCCCTCCGAGCCGGCGAGATTCCGGCCATGGACGCTGATGACGTTTAATGACGGCCCTCAGCCCGTGGAGGATCCCGCCGTCATTTCGCCGGGCTCCTCCCGCCGCCGCAAAACTAGCGCCCGGCAAATCAGGGCGCTCACCGCAACGAGGCTGGTGAGATGTTTTCCTTTTCCTGCCGCCTGCGATTCGTCGACCGACATGCCTCGCCCGGGGCAAGGGTGACGAACGAGGCTACCCTTTCCCTTCTCCAGAGCGTTAACGAACAAAGGAGTGGATAAATACTACTGGCACACACCGCGCGCATAAACAGTTCCCGACTTCGGCAATATTTCACCGGCCAGCCGGCCAATTGAGCCCGGCTGATTGCCGTTGGGAAGGGCGGCGTTCTGACCGTCTGCTTCCAAGGCCGTGGCTTCAGCGCCGCCACCGCCTGGTAGGCGGCATTCGACCAGGACTTTGAACGGTCGGCCGCGGGAGTCGGTGAATGTCCGAAAGCGGCGGCGCCTCTGCAGCACTCGGCACCGCCGACTGCGCCGCGGCCGGCGAGACAGCCGCCCGCAGCCGGCTTGGCCAATCGCGTGTGGTGTGGCCGCCGCCGCGAGCCAATACCAGCGACGGGCGCTGCTCCGCGGTGGACCCGGCAGCGGTGCGCGGAGGGCCCGCGGCGGCCGGCCACCTGAGAACGGCCCGGCTTCGCACGCGCCGTCTGGTGCAACTGTCTTCCGGGCGCGCCGCTCTCCTCTGCTTACAACACGGCCGCGGCCACGCGGCTGCAGCCCCTCGCGCGGTTCGGTCGAGCGCGTCGGCAGTGTCCCCGCATGCAGCCCCGCCAATGAGGCGGGCCGTGAGCGAAATATGCGTCCGGATTCTGGGCGGCGCCAGCGTGCGAATCCGAATTCGGGGAATGGAAAAGCGCCGGCGATCTGGCGGCAGCTCGTGGTAAAGCGCCGGCGATCTGGCGGCAGCTCGTGGTAAAGCGCCTGCGATCTAGCGGCAGCTCGTGGTAAAGCGCCGGCCATCTAGCGGCAGCTCCTGGTAAGGCGCCGGCGATCAGGCGGCGGCTAGTGACAAGGCGCCGGCGATCTAGCGGCAGCTCGTGGTAAAGCGCCGGCGATCTAGCGGCAGCTCGTGGTAAAGCGCCGGCGATCAAGCGGCAGCTCGTGGTAAAGCGCCGGCGATCTAGCGTCAGCTCGCGGCAAAGCGCCGGCGATCTAGCGGCAGCTCGTGGTAAAGCGCCGGCGATCTGGCGGCAGCTCGTGGTAAAGCGCCGGCGATCTAGCGGCAGCTCGTGGTAAAGCGCCGGCGATCTAGCGGCAGCTTGTGGTAAAGCGCCGGCGATCTAGCGTCAGCTCGTGGTAAAGCGCCGGGGGTCTAGCGTCAGCTCGTGGTAAAGCGCCGGGGGTCAGCTCGTGGTAAAGCGCCGGCGATCTAGCGGCAGCTCGTGGTAAAGCGCCGGGGGTCTAGCGTCAGCTCGTGGTAAAGCGCCGGCGATCTAGCGGCAGCTCGTGGTAAAGCGCCGGCGATCTAGCGGCAGCTCGTGGTAAAGCGCCGGCGATCTAGCGGCAGCTCGTGGTAAAGCGCCAGCGATCTAGCGGCAGCTCGTGGTAAAGCGCCGGGGGTCTAGCGTCAGCTCGTGGTAAAGCGCCGGCGATCTAGCGTCAGCTCGTGGTAAAGCGCCGGCGATCTGGCGGCAGCTCGTGGTAAAGCGCCGGGGATCTAGCGGCAGCTCGTGGTAAAGCGCCGGCGATCAGGCGGCAGCTCGTGGTAAAGCGCCGGCGATCAGGCGGCAGCTCGTGGTAAAGCGCCGGGGGTCTAGCGGCAGCTCGTGGTAAAGCGCCGGAGATCTAGCGGCAGCTCGTGGTAAAGCGCCGGGGATCTAGCGGCGGCTCGTGGTAAAGCGCCGGGGATCTAGCGGCACCTCGTGGTAAAGCGCCGGCGATCTAGCGTCAGCTCGTGGTAAAGCGCCGGGGGTCTAGCGTCAGCTCGTGGTAAAGCGCCGGCGATCTAGCGGCAGCTCGTGGTAAAGCGCCGGGGGTCTAGCGTCAGCTCGTGGTAAAGCGCCGGCGATCTAGCGTCAGCTCGTGGTAAAGCGCCGGCGATCTAGCGTCAGCTCGTGGTAAAGCGCCGGCGATCTGGCGGCAGCTCGTGGTAAAGCGCCGGGGATCTAGCGGCAGCTCGTCCTTGCGCCAGGGTCGAGCCAAGGTCGGGATGAGCGGGGAAATCTGATGGCGAGATATCGCCTGGGCTGATCGGATGCTGACCGGTTTTTCTGAGACGGATTCCACTACACCTAATCGGCTTACAGGGTGATGCCGTTGCCCAGGTGTCACGGCGCATCAGTTCAGAGCGCCAGGGGCACACAATCGCAACATCTCAGCTCTCAGCGACGGCCCCAGTGGACGGCATGGGAACGGTCGACGCGAAATGAAATAGAAATCAGCCATGAACGCGCCGCGACCGGCGAGACACATTTCATCCTTGAGCAATACAGGGCGATATCTTATGAAACATATGGAAAGAATGTCATACTTCTCATAACGTAATAATCTGGTTTAATACAGCCTGTGAACTGAAAACGTAAAACGCCTGGGAACAAACTTTTAGGATGTCATATATCACATGTGGGCCCCAGCTAAAAGATCTCAGGTCACCCGGCATCTCTGTTGAAGTGTGTGCTTGTGCTTCTGTGCACACACGTCGGCCAACACTCTCTGTTCACTACGTTACGCGCAGCTCATAATGCAACCAAATACATGACACATGTGCAAGGCCACAAGTGGGCCACGTCAACAAGGAAGAGAATGGACGCTTGGGTCTACTGGTCGTCACACTTCGATTGATATGACCAGCTCGCATTCCGGCGGCGCGCGCGCCGTGGCGGGGCGCTCCCACGTGACCAGCGAGGTGTCCAGCAGGCTCGCCGCCGCCGCTATCATGGGCGGTGAACACGCACAGCGCGCCGGCGCTCGCCAAGCGTCGCAGGCTCGGCCGGCGCCGTGGCAGAATCTCGCTCAGTGGTCGGCCTCACGCCGTCGACGGGCCACTGTCAGCCGCAGGGTGCGGCACTGGCTGGGTGGGACGGCTCGGACTCGGCAGGAGGAGGGAAGGAAGCGGTTGCCGCGGGCGCCGGGAGCGCCGAGCCGGCAGCAAGCGTCGCGCGCCAGTCGACCCCTGATTGTCAGTCGGCCGCGCCTGCCCTCCGCGGCAAGGACACACTCCGGCGGCGAGGAGCCCATCATCGACACACTTTCCCCGCGCCGCACACGGCGAGCATGCGCCACCGCAGACCGGCGCGGCGGTCAGTGACGCGGCCGGCAGGGCCACGCTCTGTTTGTCCTCCGGGCGGGGCCGGCCCCCGCGTCACCCGCGACTGACCTGAAGGTGGCCACCACGTTGGTGGTGGGCCAGCCCATGACGAGCGACGTGCCGGGGTCCCGCGCGACGTCGGCCACCTCGTCCAGGCAGGAGGTCAGCCACATCTCCGACAGGCGCACCTTGTCCTTCAGCTTGAAGTTGCCGCCCGAGCGCACCTTGGCCACCAGCAGCATGTCGGTGAAGAGGAAGAGGTGGCGGTCTTGTGACTGCAGTCCCTGGAGAGCGCAGGTGCCGTTTTTTTTTTTAGCTGTTCATACACGCAACGTAACAAGTGAAACACCCGACCATCGCGCTGCCTAGCACCAGACTGGCTGCCTGGCTCCGCGAGCAGGGTAACGACACTGTCGGACATTACCCGACTTCACAGGCTTCATTTGTATCGCCAGCTTTCGGGAGCTTTATGCGCTATACCTGCTTGCCTGGCAATTCATGCAACATTATCTGCCTCACGTGTCCCACATGCAGTGGCCGGGAACGGGGAAGGCGACACCCTATCCCATAACCGGTATAGGTGTCACCCAGAGCCGTGCGGCACGCGCAGGAAATTATTTGCGGCGGGACGGTAAAAGGGCGGGGGGGGGCATGTTCTAGCCGGCATACAGGCACGGTCACCAACGCACTCTAACGGTCCTAACGACCCGACGCATCGGCAGCCGAGATGAGGGCTCCGGGCGACGGGGACCGCTGAAGTCACCGGCAGTATTCCCACCCGTGGCTGCAGTCTGCGCTCAGCTGTTGTCAGCTGGCCTGTTACGCTCAGCTGATTTTACGAGGATCTCTTAGCTTTTGCTATTAACTGACCAGCTTTAGCGTTCGTTTATTTACCGTTGCATTAACGTTGCAGTTAACCACACACCGTGGACTTATGCACAGGACCCATGCAGTACTGGTCGCACACTTGTCGTAAAATTTGAACAAGCACTGGTGCTGCATAAGCAAAATTAGTTCGAAAACGGAATGAGTTCACATACTTTCCTGATAGTTATTCCTAAGACCCTGATTTGCACACGCCATGGTTCTATGGTTTTCGCACGGCACGCACCATGCAGACTACGTGCACCATTTCCCAGTTGATTACACGTGAGAGCACCAGATTCCTGCACGCCTCTAACTCCCCAGCCTCTGGGAGCAAGCCTCCCCCGCGCGGCCCTGCAGGGTGCACCCGGCGCGCGCAGGGCGGCGCGCGGCGCGCGTCGCGGCGCCCTGCGGGCGGCCGGTGTCGCCATCACCGGCAGATCCGGGGTCACGGGCCGCAGGACGGCGCACCCTGCGCCGCCGGCCGCCGGATCCGGCGCAGCTTTTTGCGCCACAACACAACAGCCCGCCGGCGCCAGTCGAGCTGCCGTCCGCCGGCGACGGCGGTGGCGGCGGCGACGAGCGACTACGGCCGGCCGCCAGCACCGGGCGCGGTTGTACGGCCTGCGCATGGTGTGCGTGGGATTGCCTCCAGGGCACAGCTTGACGCTCAGCCCCCCTGTCAGCGCGCCGGCCTCGTGTCCACGTGCAACGCCAGCGCACCACGCATCTCGTGAATTCCTCGCGAGTCGGAGAGCTGGCCGACAGATGTCCACGTCTTAAGACCTGATTCTAGTCTAGCCAGCGCAGTATCACAAAGACGTCGACAGAGGGGGCCCTGTGCAGCAGAGCGGATTTGGCTAAACATGACTGTATAATAAGCCCTGAGAGCGCCTTGCAGAGACATGAGCGGAGCTGGTGGTTCGTGCGAGAATGCGGAGCCGGCGCGGAGGCAACGAATGTAGCCTTTAGCGGCTCAGGCTGTCCCAACCGCCACAGTTATAGGCTTGGTAGGGAGTGTATAGACTGAAGCAGGTCAGTGCGGTCAAACTACCGCAATGTAAGACCACAGAAGGGTGTGGGGGGTGCACGTACTCAACGATGAATTGGAAGCATTTATTTACCAATTAGCCGAGAGCTGTAATCATGCACATAACTGAACGACTGGTGGGCTGGAAGCACGCATGCAGCCGGACTCACCGCGGTGAACGTGACGGCAGACTCCATGACAAGCTGGCGGCGGCGGCCGGGCTCGGGTGGGGAGCTACGCTCGCGCTCCTCGGCGGCGCGCGCCGGCGACCGCTCGACCGACGAGGGCCGCTGCGCCTTGGCCGACAGCGCCCGCTGCAGGCGGCTGGCCGGGGCCGATCTCTTCCTGATGAGGCCCTTCATTGGCTGCCGGGCGGGCGGCAGCGTCAGCACGGCGCACACGACCAAGGCAGGCAGAGCGCCCTTAACCCTACCATCGTCAGCGTGGTGTCAAGAGTTCTGTGCGATGTTCTGCACGTGGCGGGGAGTAGGAAGGCTGGCTTGACCTCCTTGATCTCCCGCACCGCAGTGCGCCGCTTAAGTAACACTTGCTAAATGCAAAATTATATTCCAAACATGAACATTTATATAGCATAATTTTTGTAAAATACCCAGATGTCCGATCAGAAACAATGCCACCTATCGGTGGGATTTACTCCGATTCACGTCGGGCATCATTCATTACCATGTGCAGCGATCAGTCGATCTTCGCACGTTCAGGTACCGCCTATCAAAAGCCGACTTGCATACAAACAAGCGGCTTGCTTGTAAACCATTCGTCCATGCTGGACAGGTTTGAGCATTAACGTAAGTTCACAACCAACGGCCAAATAGGCGTGATGTTAAGCTCGCTGAAGGGCACCCGCCCACGATACGTCTGGCGCAAAGAGCGAAGTACAACAAAAAATAGGCGTGATGTTAAGCTCGCTGAAGGGCACCCGCCCACGATACGTCTGGCGTAAAGAGCGGAGTACAACAAAAATAGAGGATTTACTGATGTCTTCGCACGCAAAGCTGCTGGTGCTGTCTGGCACGCGAATGTCTAGGAGCAGTCTGAGGCGAACCACACCCAATGCAGGGAGTTTGGACACGCTCCGCGCATTCCCCGTCAGGCAAGAGGGACTGTCGCGCCGGACGGGGTGCGAGCTGCCACGACCCCATCTAGGCCGCACCCACACCTCCCTCCCCCATCCCCCCGAGGCGCGCGGCAGTATCCGATCAACGCCACCGAACACAGACCCCGTCGAGTCCGGTGACCCCACCACCAGTTCAGGTTGGTCACAAACGGTCAGCGTCTCTCCAGTCGCGAGCGGCGGCGCCAGCCACCCGTCTGGAGCGGGCTCAGTGGACGGGGACCGGGCAACAACAGACTTCGGCCGTGATTCACGGCAGCACGGGCGGCAGCCGGTGTGTCACGCGCGTGCCGGTCGCCGACTTATGCTCGAACCAGGGGGTGAGCCATCGGAGAGAGCGGAGGGCGGTGATATGATGAGGCCGACAGGTAGAAAGGGGTGGGACCGTTATGTCAGACAGGGCAGCGCCGGCGCGGTGACCAGAATGGAAAGCACTGTCCTGTTTGGTGAAATGAGGGAGCCTAAAGAGGACGGGTGACGCAAGAGATGGTTTGTAGAATGCACATTCCACGCATTCATGCAAATGGGAAGCATCCATTAGGCATGGGACGACGTACTTCGGTAATGACCTGCTCTTGATGCAGATGTTTATTTTTTATGGGCAAGTCGACTGCGCGGCCAGTTCGCGTTATCTGAAAAACTGTCAGATGCATACCACTCGGTCGGTGCCGTGTCAGTTAACTAGTACTGCGCACTTTGATCTATATATATATATATATATATATATATATATATATATATATATATATATATATATATATACAGTCGAACGACCACGAAAAGCAGGAAAAGCGAGATCGACACAGAAACGCGCAAGGAAAATTTTGGTGAGGACATGAAGTGACATTAATGATTAAGCTATGAGCGCGGAGTGGCGTTCGTTACTGACAAGTACAAGGACAGAAAGCACGTACGCATTGTCTCGTTTCCGGGAGGCACGCAAAGCGTAGCGGCGATTTCGCCGCGTAATCGCAGCAATCGATCGCAACTGTCCCCAGCGATGAAACCGGCGATCGCACGACCAATGATGGCCCATGGCCGGCCGCTATATCGAGGAAAAGTCGCCGAATTCGGCCACTCCCACGCTTTAGCTAGGTGTCCAGCTGGACGAAATGAAAGCGAGGAGGACGCGGTCACCACTAACGATGGCGACCGGCGCCGTCGGCAGGCCGGGCGTGTCCTGCGCCGGACGCCGGCCATCAACAACAAAGACATCACCAGCCGCACAATGGAGGCGCGTTTTCGATTTCCCGACGTTTCGCCGCGCAGCTGGAGCTGGCGCCGTGATTTGGCGCAGCTGCAGACGACCGCTGGTGAGCCGGGATCGCCGTGGCGCGACCAACACGGCGCAGCGGCGCTGCACGGGCCGGCGCGGCCGGCCGGTATGTGCTCCGGTTCACGCATGAGGGGGCCGGCCGAGGCCGCCGCCTGGCCTCCACGTGTCGACCGCTCCATCGGAGCCGACTGGCCGCGCGGCCTTTGTGGCTAGCCGAATGGGCCTAATGGCCGCGGCCAAAACAAAGCGTCGGGACTGACGGCACGCCCGGCCGCCCCGCCACCCGAGTTCAAGGCTCTGTATGCACCGACGCGAACAGTGCACGGGGTGTGAAGGGGACTTCAATGTTTATGTATAGCTTCACGCCGCGATGGACACAAAGCTCATGCACGCAAATACGCAAACGCAAACAGCAGCGTGCTGCTCCCCCGGAGTCGCGACCGCCAATTTCGGCACGTCACTGGCGCACAAAAGGTGTCGTGCTGCTCACCGACAGAGAGCGAACGTGCGACACTTCCTATCTGCGCAAACAGAAGATCCCTGTTGTCAGTGCACGAGGTCACTCGGCAGCCCATCGCGCGTGGATACAGTGCGTCAGCTATACATTAAGACAGACGATTTATATATCGACCCAAAGTCATTTAAGCGGCGTGCAGACGGCAGAAGACCAGGCACATTGCGCAGAATGCAGGCGTGACTACGCCGCAAGCGGCCGGTGACTCATACAGGTGAGTCAATCGTCCGCGGTCTTCGGCCGGCCCCAGATACCCTTGGCAGTCCGCAGCCCTGGACGGTGGGCCTCTCACCTGAGCAGAGGCGTCCCTGCTGAGCAGGCCCAGATCGTCCGACGGGAACAGCTCCTGCACCCGCTCTAGCTCGGACAGGCCGTCCCCGGGCGTCGATACCAGCTGTCGGTCAGAGGGGGCGTCACGTCACGGCGGGTCGCAGTCGGCTCACATCAGCCGTTCCACTCTCAGGACAGTGCTCGCTTCCGGCCTAGCCAGCGTAACACGACACGCTGTTAGTACGCAAACTAGACAACAGTTGGTTACACTTTTCTATATTCCGCCTTCAAAAAACCAGGTTCATATGTTCTTGCTCCACGCATATGATATAAACGCAACTGATGTTAAAAACAATTGTAAACGTGGTTATCGAAGTACGTTTAGGTCACATTGTAGTAACTGCCACGGGTCGCCCATATACTTGTCCACAAACACAGTGCAGCAGCATAACGAAACGCATCCTGCAAAAAGATCCACTCTGGGCAAATATCCGCCTTGGCCCACCAGCGACAACCCGGTTATCCAAACACGAAATTGTGTTGGATAGGTTACTTTGTGGTCCATGGTGAAGAAGTTGCGACTGCAACGAAGCAGAACTAGAGCAATAGCACGCATGCCGTTGTGAAATTTCACGATTGGGGCATATGTAAGGACATACGATTGCGGTGGCAGACAAAGACCGGCAATGTTTCGTTTCATTGGCAGCTCTGTTTGCGAATTAATCTAGCCGCACGGAAAGGCGCGCGCAGGTATGCTGTCAGAACTCTGTGCTCAGCTGTGTAAGTGAGGTTTGCTTATGTAACTGAAGCCCCGAGTTAGATTCCAGCCAACATCAAACGGCAACGAAATACGAAGTCTGTCTGATCCATGCCGTGTCGACGAAGGTTTACCTAGCAGTCTAATCCCAAGTATGCAATAAAATGCCCAGTCGCCCTGACGTTATCATACGCATCCCTATACATGAGGGTGGGGGCACCGTGGGAGGCATCAGATCCGACGGCCCCGTAATGAAGTCCAGAAGCGCCGAACCAATTGCATGCTGAGATTGGTTTCGATACGATCTAGATGAGAGCCGAATCGGCATTCTTGCACGCCCCACCGGCGGCGAACGTACACGCAACAGGCCGGGCCTCTCGGTATCGGAGACCCGCATCTTCGCCAGACACGTGGGCCCATCGCGCGCATGTAGCCCAACTGCAGCGGCGTTGCCTTGCACGTGTTGTCTTGTAGTGGTGACTTTGCCTCGCATTGTTTTGCGTCATTTGCACTTGTGGCTTTGGCCACCGTGCACATAACACTGGCGACTGTGGCCTTGTAGGGCGATCGCCGCGATACTCCACGACCCATTGCGTGCCCTGCCGCCTCGTGACACCACCGGCAAGGACAGCGTCACACGTCTGCTCGGAATTCTGGGGACGGCGCGTGCCGGGACCCCACGCGAAGCGTACTCACGAGCGGCCAGAGCCATGAGGCCCAGTCGAGGACGTGCGACAGCGCGCCGCACAGAGTGGCCACCATGGCGGGCGGCTCCCGTCAGCGGGTCAGAGGGCGCCAGTGACCGCCGCGGGCCGGTGCCGACGGCTCCCGACGTGGTCACGGCAGCTCGCCAGCGCCAACATCGCCAGCCGGCGTCACGACACGATCACGGATCACGGACCACCGGCGACGGATCGCCGATCACGGACGGCGATTACGGACCACGCTCACGCTCACGTTCACGGGCAGCGCCGAGCGCGGACGTCGGCGCCGCCGCGAGCTGGATCGGCGACGGCCAGCGTCACGCCGCCGACGGGACTGTGCGAGCGACTGGCGTGACGCGCCGAGCCGCCGTGTGACGGCCGCTCGCCGTCCCAGGCGCGCCCATTACTCACGGGCGGCTCGTGACGTCAGCGGGGGCCGCGAGCGGCGCCACTTTCACGGCGATTGTGGCGCGCGCGGCCATTGGTCACCGCCGCCTCCACCGCCGCTGCTGACGGACGTCCAGGAAAGACAGAGAGAGGGGGGGGGGGGGTGGTTTCCGGCCACGGGACTCTGGCGATTGGGCGTTGTTTCTCATGTGAGGTCTGCTCTCTGGTGAGGTTTCATTGGTGTTCTGGGGTTGCCCAAGGTATCGCGCTGTATGATTGTCGGAGCCCACGCACACTGCGCGTTGTCATGGTCATTTTAGATATCAGAGGCACCCACGGAAGACTTCGGCGCCCGGGATTTTACAGGGCACGATCTGCCCGACCCCTGCTGGTGGCGCCTAATAACGGCGGCACGTTCCGACGCTCCGATCCGTCGGTTATTTCAGCTCTGGCCGTCTGAAATCCAGCGGCTTCGAAATCTGGAGGCTGACGCCTAGCATCAGGAGCTCCCAGATGGCCTTCGCTTTCCACTATTAACAAATTACTGGTCTGGGTACGGAAGGGAGTCAGAAATTACCGAAGAATCGGGTAGACATCGCGAGAAATGTTATACCATACTATTGGTGGTGCTCGTTTCAGTCGCGGATAGTTACATCAACAACGTTCCTGTCATAACCTTTGGAAAAAGAACAAATCAAGGTACAAATTTTCGGAACATCAAACATGACCTAAATTTAAAGTCTCAAAGAACGCAGATGAATGGGTAGCAGGTGGTTACAGCTGATTATGAATGAGTAGCGAGCATACAGAAGCGGGCAGAACAACGACCCCACGAACAGAAGGTGGACTGAGTGGCGGGGCAGAGTCAGAGGGTGGAAATCCTACGCGTGGAGACCTCCCCGCACATGTGCAGCGGGCGCAGCTGCAGCGGCGTCCCGGCTGGGCCCCTCGCGCGGGCCGCGGCGCTGACCCGGCTGTGGGCCAGCGCCGCGTGATCCGGGTCAGCCACCGATCGGCTGGCCGCCACGGGGCGGCCGGCGCCGCCGCGCAGCCCGCCGCAACGCGCCGCCGCTCACATCCGACGCCACGCGAGGCGCCGGCTCTGGCACCACGCGGCTCGGCGACGCGCGCCGCTGCGTGCTCTGGACTTCCGACTAAGCGTGGTGAGGCGCACCCAGCCTGCTGGACGACCACCTTCCCCCTCCCCCTTCCCCGGCACGACATCGAGAGCTTGGCTCCATTCGGGAGTGGCGACGTTGCTGATCGTGTGAGCCAGCCGGTGCACGCGCTGTGCATTGCTTCTGACCACTGCATCAGACGAAAGGACAAACCATCGCCATAGATGTTGTCCGACACAGCGCCTTTTACAACGCAGCGGGCTGTGCCCGGCAGACAAGAAGATCCGGCTCCACAACTCTACGCTCGCACCCAGTCTCTGAGTCACATCCCCCCCCTCCCCCAGCGGCCCCCGGCCACTGATATGGAGAAGGTCACACGCTGGAGGTGGGCCCGACAATTACGCTGCCCAGCTTGACACGGACCAGGCGCCGCAACGCAAGCTGCACCGGACCGCGACGCAACGCTCTCGGAGTGATGTGCTGACCCTCATCAATGTCATTACGTTCTGTCATTCCATCTGGAGCCGACCATCTTCCCACGTCCCCGCGTTAGGTCGGGGTCGCGGTCCGTAAACGCATAGGAGACGGACGGGCGTGCCACGGGTGTACAGGTCAGACGAGCGCTCACCCGGCAGCCCCGGTATACCGGCAGGTGGGGGGGGGGGGGGGGGGGGGCGGAAGCGATGGCTCCCGCACCAACGTTGGGATCCCATTCATGCGAGTCACAACAACAAAAAGTCGTGACCAGCCAGCTGGGAATCCGTCCCGCTCGAACACAATCGGTGCAATTGCTGTCGTTAGCTCGGCTCGGGGAAAAAGCGGCGTGCTCGTAGACTTTGTGGGTCACCGCGCATGCCTGGGGCAGCAGCTGACCTGTTTGAATCGTCCCGAGCTCGAGTAAGGTCGTCCACATCAGGATGACTTGCCGGAGTTTCAGACAGCAGGTCTTGGAAGTAGCGCTCATAATGAGCCAGTCGCTGCACCTGGAACCAGAAAAACGACGATTTAAATTAAGATTGAAGTAACCTAATAGACCTTTTTACAGCGCCGGCGTAACCGTTTCCATAGCGGCTCGTGAAATCGGTAATATACTTATAGATTAAGATAATGACGTGAAAGAGAGTGATGAATCAATTGGGCGCGCTAGACACGCTGGCACACATACACCCAATTTGGAGCCCGGGCTGTCGACACGCTGGAGACTGCCATTAGTCACATTGAATAACACCACCAGGTTAGCCTTCTGCTGCCAACCGCGGTCGCCTGCCATCAAGGCCTGACAGGTGACCAGCTCACCGCAGACGACGGGAACCGAGCGCCCGTCGCCTCCCACGGCCGGTGTACGGCGGGGGTGGGGGCGGGGCTTGATTCGCCACAGCCCGGGGCGGCTTTCATCTCCGAAAGATGACGCGCCCCGCCTATCCTGTACCCATGCCGGGAGCCGGGGTGGAACCGCTGGGTCCCGCCCCTGGGCGCCCAACACCCGTCCATAAACAAACACAATGGCCTAGAATAGGTTACCGGCGCGGCGCTCGATTGGGACGGGCGGCGGGCGGCGCGGCGTGGCGCCGGCAGCGGCGCGGCCGGCCTCCCAGTCGCGCGGCATATATAACTGTTCCCGTGACCCGGCGCGGAGATCCGGAACTGTTCCCGTGACCCGGTGCGGAGATCCGGAACTGTTCCCGGGATCCGGTGCGGAGATCCGGAACTGTTCCCGGGACCCGGTGCGGAGATCCGGAACTGTTCCCGTGACCCGGTGCGGAGATCCAGAACTGTTCCCGTGACCCGGTGCGGAGATCGGCCGCGGCGGCGGCGGCCGGCCCTGCAAGGCCCCGAGCCGACCTTCGTCGGGCGGTTCCCGACCGGTCGGCCGCCCCCCCGGCAGGCAGGCAGGCAGGGCGGGACGCGCAGCAGACGGCGCGCGCGGTCGCCGACGGTGTCGAGGCGGTGGCGGCCGCGCCGGCGCCGGTGCCGCGTGCAGTGATACGTGACCACGCCTCCTGATATGGACTGCCACGCGGCCAGTGACACGTGACGCCGTCTCCTGGTATGGACTGCCACGCGGCCAGTTATGCGCTGACCTCCACCAGTCCGTCGGCCCCAGCGCGCTGTCCCAATGACAAAATTGTCACCGTAGTAATGCGCTAATGCAGAAGGATGGAATAGTCTCTAGCAGAGCATTATAGTGCACGTTAAAAGTTATAAGGTAGTGGATGAGGCATGCTACCACTTTATTTCCCATACCTGCGTTTTAAAATACACAAAATAAATAACTTTACTTAGTGGCCAGTCAGGCAGCAAATAAAACGTGCTCATGAACATTTCGCTCACAAAAAGAGCACCACGCTTTCATGTTTTATGACCATTACGGGTAACATTTTCCCGTGCAGGTACATCTTTTACGTAATTTGTGTGGTAATTCGTTCCTAATTGTCGCAGTATGTATACAAATCATACAACACGCAGTAAACGAGTGAACAGGGCAGAACCCATTCAAAGCGTCAACACGAGTTCCAACACATAACTTTGCTCCCAAATAGCCTGGCTTCGGTTCATCTGCAGAAGCTGCCACATTTCAACCACGATACCGGTTCAGCTCGGGCGTACACTGCCCGCGCCCCGGCCTCAGTCCCGCTCTGAAACCAGTGCAGCGGCGCGCTGGCGGTCGGCTGGGGCGTGCTCACTCGCGCGCGCGCGCTCTGCCGGCGGCGGCGGCCGGCGGCGCCAGCTGGCCGTGTTTGCGGCCCGTCAGCCGGCCGATGACGGGCCAGCAGCGGTGCTGAATCGCACCTCTAATCCGGCCGGCGCCGCCGCTGATCCCGCCCCGTCGCTCGCGCCGCCGACGGCCGTCGTCGCCGCCGCCGGACGCGTAGCGGTCAGCTAATCCGGCCCGACTCGCTCACCTGGCGCGCGCACTAAACGGCGCTGATCCGCCTCCCATCTGGGATCGGTGTGGCTACAGCGGTGCCGGTCGGAACCTGGCTGCGACTCTCCTAAAGCGACGTGTGGGTATAGTGTGTCCGCACGTCGTGTTACGTCCCTGTGCCGTGAATCTACGGAGGCGGACGTGGCGCGGCCGTTATGGCTCGCAGCAATCAGACAGGCTGACTCACTGGGGCCAAAGCGTTCACGGCAAGGTAAACCTGATCACAACAGCAGTACATATCAATGATGACTTGCAGCGGTGCTCCAAAGCACAGCCCAAGCAAACGGCCGTTGCAGAGCTTCGTGCCTTGCAGTGGTAAGTGGCATAATTTATTGAACGGTTAACTGTCCACCAAAGGAAATAGCCCATCATCCGAAGGCCCGTGTGGGCATTCACCCGTGCCGTCTCACGTAACTCATCTGCCAACATGTTGCTTAATGTTCCGCCAAGCACAGCGCGCCTCACTTGCAACGCGTTGTACACGCAAATAAGTTTGGGGACTCACAGAGTAACACGCCATCCTTCTCACCAGCGTCGCCACCGGAACATATCGCACACGCCCGCTCAAGTCAGCCAGCCGTGACTGGTCGCCGCGTGGGCGGCGGGGATCTGTGACCCGGGCTGGCGCGCGCCACGGCAGGCGCCGGTTTTCTGCGATCGTTCCGGACGAGTGGCGCGCCCGGCGGCCGTTTGGTGCCGCTCGATACGCTGCATAACGGCATCGGTGCGCGGTGCGGCGCTGGGCCCGCCGCTCGGGCACGGGGCCCGGGCCGCGCGCGTCTGCAGCCCAGCGTCCCTGACACCGCACGGCGGCAGACGGTCCTGACTGCCGAGTGTGAGGACACACAGCGGGACTCAGGTCAGGCGATG